CGGAAAACGTGTGAATTCTCCGACCAACATTGCGCCAGAGTGGTGGACTATAACCTAAATCCTTGCCAAAGAGGAGATCCGTGCCCTTAGTAGGTCTTTACAATGCTTTCGTCAACTTCCGTAAAGCCCTAATCGCTCTGTATAGCTTGGACTTGAAAATATGTTACTATATTAGGTTATAATTAACTGATTCTTTCACAGAAGTTCAGTTTTTGATTTATTGTACTAAAATTCTAACGGATACCGGTGACAAATTAACTTATTTAAGGGTTATTAATTCCTATTAGTAGCCGTCAAGGAAGTCAACTTGTTATTATTAGCTAAGCTGAAAGAAATAACGATTTGGGAAAACGTTTATTCATTTAATTGATATGTTATAGTAACTTATAACTATATAAGCTTATAACTTATATAATACGATTCATTTCGTTTGGGTCGACCGGCAGGGACACTGGCTTTATTTCAGAATTAATTTTTTTACAAACGAAATAAAAGCCGTTTGAAAAACGTATACGTGTTCTATTTAGTTCAGTTTATATTGAAAAAATCTTTGGTAATGTGAAGTATCTATTGAATACAATGGTTTTCTTGTACAATTTCGAGGTAGTTTGTCTTTTCTATCGTGAAAATTTTTTGGAATCTTGTTTTTTCACCATATCGACATATCCGTAGAACAAAGGTCTATCTGCAAAGCTACTTATTCTCAGGACGTAGTACATTTCGTTCGTTCTTCTTCGCTGTGAATGTCAGATCGACTATTGTTCAATATTATAATTTCCGAAACGAAACAAGATATATAAATTCTCAAAACACCTTTACGTAGGCCTTAGTTTGAATAATGAAATTATTCTGTAACGTACCTACTTATTCTCTTTTCGCTATTTAATCACATCGGACTCTGTTCTTCGGATGAGTCGATATAGTAATCAGAGCATATCCTCAATTTTACTAAATATTTTTTCCAAATTGATTGATTCAACAATTTCACTATTATGCGAAATCAACCAAAGCCATTTGAGGTTGTATAGACTTTTAATTGGGACGGTTTTAAGAGTAAAGAGAGTCCAAAGAAAAGATTGATGGATTGCGTGGAAAATACACGTAAAGTTACGGACAAGTAGATGATTTTAACGGCAAAGGAAAACCAAATGCAAAAATGTATGGATTGTTTGGAAGATGATACCGTGTTACGGAGGGATAACTGTCACATAAAAATTCTGCAGTGCGTCGGGAATGTTCGCTAAAGCTTGTATTGATGGTTTTGAAGCTATTATGCGAAAAAGAGAAGCTTCCCTGATGCTCAGAATTAGTTGTAGCGATAATAGCTTCGTTAGTGTCATTGACATTCAGGATTCAGTGTTCTTTTTCCATATATCAGTAGTAGCAGAGCTTCTTGTGAAAGAGTTCGTCAGGGAAGCACTGCCACCTTATCTATTTCTGCCGCTACGACGTAATGAGTGTGTGACGTAATGAGAGTGCGTTTAAGCTTAGAAGCTTAGAATAATAACGCATAGAATGATAGTTTCATATCAAACTAACTGTCACAAGTGAGGCAAAAATCAAATTCGTGTAGGCTAGTTTTAGTAGTAGGTTAATTTTCGGTTTTAGTGAACATTGATATAAAAATACAAGTTGAAACGCGTTACTTCCTTGTGGAATGTGATTTTAGTATCTATTTTATGTTTGTCTGACGTATTTTTACACTCATTTACCGCACATTTCGTCATTTTAGCTAAAATTCTTGATCTGTTCGCGGTGCAAGTTGACCTGCACTGAAGGCCCGCCCGCTCGTGTAGGCCCATTGGGCGCGCTTCAATTTGCCTCACTTAGCGTGTGCGGACTAGGTTTCTATGCGTTATTATTCTAAGCTTAGAAGCGTAAAGGTGCAGGTAAAATTACAGGCAGTTTTCAACTTATGTCTCCAGGTGACGTGAGCAGAGGCAGTGACCCTCAGATCTTTGCGATTTAAATTCTGAGTGGCACCAGGCGCACGATTGTTTGTCACGTCTCTTGGTCCTATAAAAAATATTTTTCTGGTAATCACTTCTCTAGGGAAAAACTTACAACACAAATCAGAATGAATAAAAATGGTTCAATGCCATCTAGCGATGTGCGATGGAAATTTTGACATTGTAAAATATTACAAAATCAAAAGTTCTGTCGCACACCGCTAGATGGCATTGCATCATTTATGTTCATTTCTGATTTGTTATAGCTGCTGTAGCGCGGAAAGGATTTCATGGATTTCATTTCAAGGATTACAACCAGATAAACAAATCCGAAAACTAGTAATAATTTATTGTTCCAGAAGAGCCTTAAATTGGGTAAAGTATACTTATGCGAAAGTTTGGTGAGTGCTCACTGTAACAGGTAATTTGGGAAAAGACCGGTGCTTATGGAGTACAGACACCGACTAAAATATAGTCTAATTGTAATACTAAGCTCCGTTATCGTCATTACACGTTCTTACTGCTGGACACGGATCTTAGTGGAGAATAATATAATAACGTTATTTACCAATTTTCTAAAAGTTACAAGACAAATCGAGAGATTCAAGAGTTGGTAAAAGAAGATACGTTGCTCAAAGTATAATCGAGCCATGCATGCAGAGATGGAACTTTGCCAGTAACCTGGGCGCACCCTGACGCGGGGACCCGGTTTCATTAATTTAATTTGTGACTTCACTAATAGACTTAAATAACCTCAGTTCGTTACCAGCAATTATAATGAATCGTTCATCATTCAACTTAATATTAACGACCGTGCCACACATCACACATCTATATTAAAATTATGTAATAGTTCGGGTGGCTGAAAATAGTTTCTAATATAGTCCACATGCAACTAATTGGCTAACTAGTGAGAGGGACAGTCTCAGTGATAGATAACATATCTTTAATGATACCAACAACAAGTGACCGTAGCAATTGTAGTGCCACTCAGAGCATTAAGTCGGAAAGATCTAAGGGACACTACCACTGCACCTGTCAGTCCAAGTGCCTGTAATTTCGCTTACCCTACAAAACTAAAACAGTAATGCTCACATATCTGTTTGACGGCAGAAATAGAACTTAAAAGAAAATAGCTATTCTCTGGACAAACACTTTCACGAGAATCTCTACTGCTATTAAAATTATAAACTTGATTAAACTCGCATGTTTTGATTGCCTAAATATTAATATGAATGGTCTATAAATGAGGAAACCTAATTTCGAAATAGAGTCGACAGTCTCGTTTTTCGATTGCACTGTCTCGATTCTTATTCTAAGACGAAGAAATGCTTCAAGCCTGAAAACTCTAGGTATTGTCGCAGGCGTGACCTTGAGCGCTCGGAAGTTTGAGAACAATCAATGGGGGCTCGGACATCCGGACACGCCCACGGGGTTTGACTGCGACCGAAGTTAGATTGAAGCAGTGTTATAATCTTTGAAGCGTCTGTAGTCATTCTATCGCGTCCGATAGTATGTTTACAGTTTTGACGTCATCGGAATTGTGAAAAGAGGCGTACTGTTAATACCGTCGAATTAGTGAATTGGATGTGACCTGGTGCTGGTTGCACACGTCTTTTCAAAAACCGTTGGAGACAGTTGGTTGGAGGACGTGTTTTGGAACTTCCTAATTTCTAAAAAGATGGCGCCTTATGTTACGGATCGTAATATCTATTTCAGTCGTATTTTAGTGATTGACGCACGCATTCCAGCTTTGTTCATTTCTTGTCACGACCGTTTAGTTCGCGGTATGTGAGATCATTATTTTAAACTATATATATTGTTATACAATAAAATCCATATAGTCTGCTATCAAAATTGGAAATTTTCACATTGTACAATTTTAGAACGCTTTTGGATAAATTTCTAGATTCATTAAATTTTTATTGAATTTTCATTTTAATTTAATTTAAATTTTATTGAAATTTAATTAATACATTGAATAGCGAATCTCGCCAGGACTGGTAGCTGTAAAAGTACTAACTGGGTAATAAATCTGTCATAGATTTCTCATAGATGGCGCTACGAATAGAAAGTCGTTGAAAGACCAAGTACAAAGACACGACGCAAGCACATAGAAGAATTCGTAAGGTCCGTTGGTTCGTTCCGTAGCTTTGTTGGTATAGCGTCTGGCACGGTATGCAAGAAGACGTCGATTCGAATCCGACCGGATCGAAGGAATTTTTTCTGAGTGTTTTTTCTGAGTGTTCGGTCTTTGTATTAATAATTAAATTTCTAGATGTTCGCAAATACATAATCATACGAATTTCAAATATCTACTACGATTGATAGATCGATGAAAATACATTTATTCGTTAAATTATTCCGAAGTCTTAGAAGAAGAAATACAAAGATCGAGGGCCGGCTGAAAAAGAGTGGTGAACAACTTCTGTCGCTCAATGATTGCAGAGACTATCCTCCATAAATAATTTTCTTTTTCCCCCACAAATAAATTTTTTAATATTTTTAAGTAGCTTTTATTTATTATGTAATTAATGTACGTGGAAACAAATGGTTTAAATGGAAAATTTAGGAACAATGGTTTTGTATTTTTCAAAAGGTTGATGATCGTTAGAAAGAAATCGACATAAAAAATGGATTAGTACAAAAATTTTGAATATTCTTAATGTACAATTTCTCAAAGATTTTTTGCTTTAATTCAGTTATTACTGTGACTCTCATTGCTCCATATTTTATTGACACTTTGTCTCTGAAAATATAATTTTATTGAGCACATTGTCGCAGTAAATTTTATTTTATTAAGCACTTAGTCATATTGAGCACTTTATCTCTGTAAATATATTTTTGTTCAGCAATTCGTCGCTGTAAATTCAAGTTTATTGAGCACTGTCTTTGTAAATAACATGTTTTCTCTTAACTAGGTTGAGACTTGCTATCGCAATTTGTACTTTGTTTTAAGTAAATTATAAGGTATCTTTTTTTGTTGGCATGCTTAATAATAATGTCATAATAACATTCTTATAAAAATATTAATATTAATTTAGAACTTACCTCTTCGATGGATGAGGACATAAACCCGGAACTGAAACAAAAAAAGGACAATTGAGCAAATGATTAAATTTAAAAAAACACAGAATGGCGGGAACGTGAGGAAAATAATTTTGGAAATGCACACTATTGGTTTAAGAATTATTTTAATACATCGATTGTTCGCCTTTTTTTTGAAAACAGCTTATTATTCAAACATAAATAAAACTTAATAGCGACGTGCGTGAATCCAAGATCCTTCATACGAAAGAAGGTTACACTAACTTGAATCCTTTAATATCTTTAAGAAGGTTATTTTAAAGTTTTAAGTTTCTGAACTCCTATCGCCATAAAACAAATCCTCGCGTGTAATAATTAACTTTGAGCAAATCTTAAACACCGCAATTCAGAAATAGCATATTTTGGATCAACGCCATCTATTGACAAACTTTGGAACTACTAGTGTTGTAAGAAATTTTTTTTATCATACCAAGTAAGGGGACGAACAAACCGTACACCTGGTGGTAAGCAACACGGCTATCTATAACGGTTGCAGTGTTACTCAGAGCTTTAAATCGCAAAGATCTTAGGGGCACTGCCACAGGTTGACAAGTCCCATGTGCCTGTAATTTCACCAGCACCCTTACCCTTCGAAACTGTAATTATGTTCACATTACTGCTTGGCGGCAGAAATAAGTAAGGTGGCAGTACTTCACAGGACGACCTCTTTCACAAGGTGAAACTCTACTCTACTGCTACTTAAGAATTTTGATAAGAAAGTTATTGTGATACAATGTGTGATTAATACGGTTAGCACGCTTGATGTTAAAACGTACTGATAAAACAAATGGGGGTCACCCATTTTGGTAGGTCAATGGGGTCACCACACTTATTGACGCGGAATTGCATTAGAAGAAAGGCTTTATTTCCATTCGTGATAACAACGGGAGTGTTACAATCGGGAACAGATGCGGCAGCGGAAGTATAAATACTATAGAGATCTCTACGAAATTGTTCCTACCGGGGTTTACTGCTGTCATAAGTACACTTAACACAAAATTGCTTAACAACGTGCGCCACACCGCCAAGTAATCCACACGTGCGACTGATCTATCGTGAACGTAAACTTCCGATTAAAGTTTTGTTACGAAAGTTGCGCGAGCACAAACGGAAACAGATGTGAAAAAGCGTCCGGAACTACCGCGGTTGTAGAAGCAGAAGTAGAGGTCTGTTGCGTCACTAATTCACTAATTTTAATACATTTACTAAGTACGAAAACGACGTGCATTTCGAGTCATCGGTCCGAGCGGAAGCGACATAAGACATGAAGCTTTTTCTGACCAGGTTCACCCGGTTTCGCGTTAATTAGTGTGGTGATCGCCTAAGTATTTTTACGACACTGGAGGGATGATATGCAATACTCACCAACATATTAACGATTTCGACATTTTGATAACCGCGCACTGTTAATTTTAACAAACACACTTAACCACACTTATAACAAACTGCATAGCAAAAAATTACACTGTTATCTGTGAACCATTATTTATTTTTAAAACAAATTGCATAAATCTTACACTGTACTGTAACAACCTTGATACGTTTATATATACATATATAGGATGTTTCTTTGTTACGTTTCTAGCAATACATGAACATAAGACATAATCAATGTCTTATGTCCATGTATTGCTAGAAACAAAGACACCACAGAGAAATCTTGAAAAAATCAGCAAAACAAAACATTGATCTAGAATCTACCATTTTTTTCGCTATTAATGATTGTGTGACATGGCTTAAAAGAACAATGGCAAAATCATAGTTAAAAGAATTGGTTAGTGTCTTCAAATGTCTTAATTACAAGTTTGTATAAAATAAATGTATTAGGTTTTCGAAATTATAATGGCGGCCTATCTAAGTCCGGAAAATAAAATCATATTAAAAAACTCTTATGACTAATTAGTATGTAACCGGACTGATATCTACAAATATCAGTATATTAGTTTCTTAACGTTGAGCGACATCTAGCCGCCAAAAAAGGAATTTCAGTACCTACGTATGGATATGGTCCACATTTAGTTTATGTAATATCAAATGTTCCTACTGATTCAACCGATTTGTAATAAGCTAATAAAAGATTGACTACTTCATTACAAAACATAAAGTCCATAATTTTTTCTCGAAAATACCACGCGAGAAAATGGTAAAACTAACAAATAAGTTCCCAAAATCACGGATAGATGGCATGTTTCACGAAAAAAAATTTGTGTCCGAGTTACCAGTCCAATACTGTTATTGGACTGGTAACTGAACTGAGTTAATTGTTAAACATGTTATTTATTAACTCAGTTTTTCAGTCATAGCTTAACTTCATGCCTTTTGACTATACTAGTATACAAAATAATTTCCTCTGAACTTTGTCACGTCACAAACCCACGGCACCATTCAGTTTTTATTAACTCTGTTTAGGGCTTCTGTAGTTTATTTTGATATAACAATACACCGAATATATATTATTCAATTACGTAACACATAACCTCCAAAACTTCAAACTAGAATATCTTTAATTCCTTACTTCTCAGAATAGTAAACCCAAAACAAAATTTGTACAGGAATTTCAACTTATGAATATCAATTCAATAAAAAATTAAAATACAGTGAATAGCGACATATCTCGCCAGGGCTGGTAGCTGTAAAGGTATCTAACTGGGTGATAAAACTTTCATAGATGCTAGAAGATGTCGGTTCGAATCCGGCCGGATCGAAGGAATTTTTTCTGAGTGTTCGATCTTTGTATTAATAATTATAACAAACTAGTGGAGTAATTTCACAAAAATAATTGAATATCAATTCAATAAAAATTTAAAATACAATTTTATTTTTATTATTCTATTGTATAAAATTTATACAAAAAGAATACTTATTAATCTAAGCCTGGCGGCATAACAAGAACCTGCGATGGTTTATCCGTGCACCGCAAGAAATACTTCATCTTTTCAGAAAGGGTTCAAAGGCTGTTTGAAATTTTGAGAGGAGTTCATGGCTAGAAAAAGAGTAGGAAACCCTGCTCTAGGGGTTGCTCTTTTGAAAACATACATTTGAATATATTTATCATTTACAATATTTATTTCAAATATCTTGGATCGAGAATACCTGCAAGAGCTAAACGAGTCACTCACTACCACAGAATTTTGTCATCCAATTACGCAGAAGCTGGGTAAACCTTTAGAATAAAGTTTTTATTTCACTGTAGTTATAAACCTCATAAATGGCAAATTTTGAATTTCACCCGGAATCTTATTAAAGGGTATACATCGCCACTTGAATGAATTTGCGACTTTGTGAAGACGATTGTCTGAACAGCTAATTTATTTTTATTCCTAGTATTAATGTTATGTTTGTCTCAAAACTTACCGAAATGTAAATGCATTGGTTGTGAAAGGGATATACATATCATATTTAATTGCAATACGTCAAGAATCTTATCATCTTAGGTATTTATGTTCATTTTAGTTCTTTCGATACATTAAAAACTTTCCCCTGTAAAGTTATGAGTTTGGGCTTACGATTCTTTTACTCAGGAGGAATCGATATACGTTCTACTGTTGAATACAAGTCCGTTATCTGTAGTTCGCACCGACACAATTATGGATGGACACTTCATATAGCACTGTTTAATAATAATATTTTCATAACCGGTTAAAAACTAATTACTTCCCGTGAAAGATCATTAAAATTTATGCATAGGTTAAAGTTTATTCCAAACATCTAAACGATTTCCTACTTGCCAAATATATTTAAAAACAAAACGGAAAAAGAATTTCATATTTTTGAGTAAGAGCTGCTTTGGCCAGAACTAGTTCACGTAAAGTTTGTCACATTATGAGTTAAGTAGATTTGTTTTATTTGTTTCTTACAATATTCTATCGACGGTTTTAATGACGTGTAGAGATTTAAGATTTTACGATCAGCAATGACAATTTGCATTGCTATTACAATAGTGTCGTAACTCAAAAATGTAGAATTAAAAAAAAACGATTTGAATATTAAAAAAGTACTGAATGAAACCAATATATATATATATATAAATAATAATTCTTGTTTATAAATGGATAATTAAGTATTAGCGTATATAAATAAAAATAATCACACTATTTGCATTAAGATTATTTATCACCATGTGTTTCAATGTATCTACTGTAATCTATGTTGATGAATAAATATATTTGAATTTGAATTCGTTATTTTTTTTTAATTTTCAAATTGCGTTTCCTCAATTCCACAATTTTGAGTTACGACACGTGGGATTATAATATTGAATTTCACATACTTTGAGTTACAACACTATTGTAATAGCAGTGAGATATACATATGAAGCACTATAGGAACGCTACCCTCTAAGACATGCAGATTGTACACAGATTCAAAAATGATCACAGACTTCGCGCGTTTGAAGAGCCCTTGGTCTTTTCCGGTAAGAGATCCGACACAGAGAGTTACAGAACCTTCTCCAACTTGCAACTCTATATCACTAACACGTAACACTTTCACAATCTAGACAACGCGCCGTAATGAGAAAAGCACTCTATGTATGGACAGTGTACGACTGTCAACATAGCTAATGTATTTAACAATGTTGCACAATGTAAATTGGTCTCTATTCGTTTGATTAAGAGTTCGTGATCATTTGTAGTTTTATACGTTTGTGTTACTTTTTATACACAATGTCGCATGGCGATTGTAAACATTAGGTGAATCGTTACTTGCCTGATAATTAATGACAAAACAAAACAAAATATAGTACAAAAAGCCGTGGTAGACTGATGGTTTGACTTGCCGACCCCTCAGCAGACGGTTCTGGGTTCGAATACAGGCTTCCACCTCCGAGCTGCTCGAAATGTACGCATGTACATCGTTATGAACCTAGCACACATCTTGCAATGCAATATGTGTGAAGTTCTCAATCCGCGGTGGGATCGCGTGGGAACTACAACCTAAGTCCTCTCGTTGTGAGAGGAGTCCTCTGCCCATTGGGATTGTAAATATATAGTATTT